TAACACACACACACACACACACACACACACACACACACACACACACACACACACACACACACACATAACACACACGCACACACACACACACACACTCTGTTGCCGTCAACAAGCTGGCGGCTATGGCCGCCGTCGTCTTCCTCCTCTCGGTACTGGCGGCTATGGCCGCCGCCTCTGCCCTCTTCTTCTTCGGGCACCTGCAGACCTCCAACGCACAAGCCGCACTAGCAGCACTTCCGCATGGCTCACAGGCGAATGAATGAATGGCTGAGCGCTGCCTCTTTATTTATACTATTTCGTTGGTGGTCTGGCCTGCCACTGGTCCCAGGCCCGAAGTGTGCACAGTCCCGCTTGGTACTTGCTGACTGGACAAGGTGGCCTGGGACTGGGGACTGCTGATTGGACTAGGTAGACTTACTGACTGACCCCTGCAGTCCCGAAGAGTCAACTAACGGCTTCTAGAAACCCGTAGCTGGGTAGACTGACCCTTCGCTAGGCCTTAGGGCTACTTCTCCCTTGCCGACTCAGTTACGGTCAACTGTCGTCTGGAAGGACCTAGGCTAGACCGATAGACTGACTCCTAAGACGACTATTCCTAAGTAATATGGTTCAAGTCCCGATGACCCAACTAACGAACGAAGCACTAACGTGCGACTTTTTAGGGACAGGTCGCGGGTTCAAGGCTCACGGGGTCTACCGGTAGTTGTACAGGGGTATGGATAGGTCCAGGGATCAAGCCCTGGGTATTGCATTGTTGCGCAATCTGGGTGAGACCATTTCAAATAGGTTATTGTCGCTTCTGGTCATCGTGCAGACCCCGGTTCAAATCCTGCCGTACGCTAATTTTGGATAATGGGCTGGCCCTCCCAAGGACGTAAAAGTTTGAAAAATCACCCCGAAAACTCATACGTAAAGAAAAAGTTTGAAAAAGTTAGAAAAACAAAAAAAATTACTGGGTAATGGCCCCAGTACACCGGGTTGTGATGTGGAGGGATTCCCGGTCTCCTTTTGCAATTGTTAATATACAAAGCATAATTCTTATTATAAAAAAAAAACATAAGTAAAGAAAAGAACATCGCAGCATGGATGTCAAAAGTTGAGACATCTCTTTGTTTTCTGTCTCTTCATTGATTCTCCCTGTGTAGCCGGTGTTGGTATGTACAAGCTCGCGGGCTTCTCTGTGACAAGTACTAGAGTATTTCCTGGCATCTTGTTTGTTCAGAATCAGCCTGAATGTGAATTCAATTATTCAATCTTTTGTCCTTACACTGCTTACAGATGCTGCCCATGTGGAAGATGTCAGGAACGGTGGTACTGCCGGTCAGACTTCTGACAGGCCAGAGCTAGGGGTTTCGGGAGAACATTCGTTAGTGCCACCAGACTTGTCCATGCCTGCGACGATCAGATGTACAGGACAGATTGCAGAGCCCAACGATCGAGGGAGTGAACCATTTTTCACCAGCAAGGAAGAGACACAAGAGTTCGCAGAGGTTTGCGCTGAGGCGAAGCACCTGTCCCAGTGCATGCTTCGCCGGATGCATCGACGGCACCCACACTTTCACTACTCGCTTAATCAGACGAGTAGTCTTTCTTCAGACCCGATTGATGCTTACAGTTTGGGAGCTAGGGATGGACGGGAGTTATCGGGAGAAGAGGACGTTGCTCCTCCTTGGCAGTTGGTCGATGCAGTCTATGTCTGTCTGCAGCTCAGTGAGGATCTGGTAATGTCGGTGGAAGAGGATGGGAAAATAGATTGGCTTGAGAACGAAGAGAGAGAGCGTGCTGAACTCAATGAGGGAGCCATGAGCCCTGACGTTTGCCGTATGAGAGAAGCGGATGAAGAGAATGCCAATGCTGTTGGCAGCAGCATTTGTGCTGAGAGTCCCTCGCGGAGGTGCCTGGAGAACTTCCCTCCCCCCCGACCTCAGAGACTTGCGACAATTTCGGATAACTGGATGGAGACGCTGTCACCACAAAGAAGAAGTGGGCACCTAGAAGCTGCACAATTAAACGACTCTGTGGCGGTGGAAGAAGCAGAAGCAGAGGGAAGATCCCATCCTTCAGAAACTGTTCGAGTGATGACTCCTCTGGAAGTTGCTCGGGAACTGGTAAGTTCGCTCAAGACCTGCGAAGCTAAGCACTGCATTGTTCCAGCGCTGAACGAGGGAACTTGCCTTTCTCGTCTTTTGGGGGGGCGAGAAACATGACTACATCGCCCTGGTCGAGTTCCATTCTTTGTGTTTCTTCCGGTCAGCAATTCTCCTCCTCCTCCTCCTCCTCCTCCTCCTCCTCCTCCTCCTTCTTCTTCTTCTTCTTTGTCTCCTTCTTCGTCTTCTTCTTCGTCTTCTTCTTCGTCTTCTTCTTCGTCTTCTTCTTCGTTGTCTTCTTCGTCTTCTTCTTCCTCTCCTCCTTCTCCTCCTCCTCCTCCTCCCTCCTCCTCCTTCCACCAGGCCTTTTTTCCATCAACAGGTCGCCTGGAGTACATTCAAGTTGGTAAAACATAACGAGCTTGAAAGGGGTTAGTAGCCCCAACATTATTGTATTCACGAGGATTCAACTCACGATCTGTTTATCAACGCTCATGTGCATGTGTACCATTCGACCGCTGGGCCAGATACATCAGACTTTATTGATTGCTTCCCAGAGGAGGAGAAATTCCCATCTGATCTGACAAACTATAAGAACCCATGTCAATCCATATCAGGATACAGAGTGGGGACATTGTATTCAGATGGCATGGCTATCAAAAAAAAAAGAAAAAAAAAAAAAGAAAGGAGATGACAATCGTAGCTTGGCTATGAACATTGTATCAAGCTGTTAAAACAAACAAACAAAGTTTTAAGATACTAGATGATGAAGAAGAAGAATGTACTAACAACCTGGGCGTTTTTTTTTTTTTTCAAAGCACTTTAGGATGGCATAGGCTGACAGTCAATCCTCCATAGTTGTGGACAATGTGGAGTAATTAATGCTGTTCAGACTCTTCAGAGTTTTTTTTCGGCGGAACAGAAGAAAGCGTGTGTGTGTGTATGTTGCAATTCAATGACTTGTGGGCGAAGAGGAAACGGACGGATTCTATATGCATCATGATATGGACTCATTATGGCGCCGGGACCTGATTCTGTCCAGAACGGCCACGATGGACTCGTTATTGTGCCAGGACCTGATTCTGTCCAGAACGGCCACGATGGACTCATTATGACTCCAGGACCTGGTTCTGTCCAGAGTGGCCAAGATGGACTCATTATGGCGCCAGGAACTGATTCTGTCCAGAACGCCCAAGATGGACTTATTATAGTGTAAGGTATATCTTGTGTAGGTAATATGTTGAAATGACCTCCTTATTTCCATGTCTACCAGCTATTTTCTCTCCTACTTGAAATTTTCGTTTTTGTGAAATATGTTCACTTTTTATGTACTTGTGAGTATGTTTGTTGCGGCAGGACCATAAGGACCTGTTCTTTTGTTCCGAAAACTTTTTATGTATGTTTGAGACATTGAGTAAGTTTGTTGCGGCAGGACCGGAAGAAGGTTGACGTCAACTTGACGATGATAGCAAGCACCATCTGTCAAACTTTGTAAGGGTTATTAATTGTTGATGTTGATGTTCCTCAACTGTCTTTAAATAAAAAAGAAAAGAAAAAAAATGGACCGTTTCTTGATTATGCTCGCATCCTCATGCAGGGGCCATGCCAAGCTTCTTTCTCTGTATCGTTCCAATTTTAACGGACGTCCTGAAGGACTGTTTTTTTACTTTCTTGGGGTTTGTTTTCCCCCCTTTTTTTTGGGGGGGGGGGGGGTCCTCTCTTCGCCGTATCGTCGCAATTTTAATGGATGATTTCATTGATTTGCTTTCTCTTGCTTGTGTGTGTGCAGGTTGAGTCTCTGACAAGCATGGTCAATTCATTTGATCAGGGAGAGTTTGAAGGGGTGTGGCAATTGATTGCCGCGCGGGGTCCTAATCTGGGCATGCTTGGGAACGCGAATTGCAGCTCAGTGCCACTTCAGCAAGATTGGGAGAAGGGAGTGTCTGGACTTATTGGGAATGCTTGGAACGAGCGAGTTGAGTTTGTTAAGAAGATTTGGACCAAAGGGATCACAAGAGCAGAAGAAAGCGAGAGATGTTGTGACAAGTGGGAAGCTCAAAGGTTACACATCATTGAAGCCCTAGAAATGAAGGCACAAGAAGCTTCGCATGCAAGTGTGAGTCGTCTTTCTTTCTTTTTTTTTCTTTTTTTTTCTTTTTTATTTGTGTTACGATCCTGGCCAATTTCAAAGTGCAAAATCACGAGAAAGTACAATGCCGTCCAATTGCGAAAAGAAATGAATGAGCTGGAGAGGAGAGAGAGGGGAAGAAGAAGAAGAAGATGTTCACCAGCAAAAGACCAATGATAATCCCATCTTCTTCTCGCCATCCAAACTCCTCCTCCTTTTCTCTTCCCCTCTTATTCAAACAATAAATAATAATAATAATGATGAATGGCAGAATCAGAATCAATGTCCGGATACCTCTTCTACTGCCGGCACGACTTGAGGTCCACCATAGGCTGCCCTCCACTTCCTTCCTCATCTAGGCCGACGCTATGGCGGACTACTAAGGGCCTTGCCCTGACATGCAAAAGACATCGCAAAGCAACTATGGCCTCTTCCTCTCAGGCCTCCAGGCGTGACTCTGCCTCGAAGCTTTTGATGCAGCTCTACCTCAACGGGGGCCTTCCAGATCCAGCACCCACCAAGGTGATGAAGATGACATCCACCATAGCCAGTTAAATACCCCTGGTGCTCCCCTCTGCTAGTCTCCTTCTTCCTCCTCCTCCTACACGAGCTCCTCCACCATAGCCAAGGTGCAGAGCTGGGCGCCCTTCTTCCCCACAGCGCTGCTTACATCAACCCTGCTCCAACCAGCGCTCCAGCAGCGTGATGCCAAACTTGCACGCAGCAAAATGAGGCCGAGCTTCTCGCTCAGCCAAGGCCAGATCCTTACGTTTGGACCATTTTTCCATTTATGTGGGTCATCCTTGTGCAGGGCGCTGTCGAGCGCATCGGCTCCCGCCTTTTTGCAAAGGTGCGGGAGCCCTCCCGACCATGTCACAAAGGAGTAGAAACAAAAACAAAATGAAACTCAAGAGACAACACGGGAACGACGCAAAATAACCCCGCGAACCACTGGAACGGGCGTGGTCGCATTGTTCCTTCGCCGCTCTAGCTGGGTACGCCAGTTGTACATCCCGCGGTCCCCTACGACAGGATAGGTTCCCGCGGGGCATAAGCTTTCCTTCTCTAAGGGGTTTTCACCACCCTTAGGGGCGTATCCCTACCGAGCTACTGACCCATGTGCGAAAACTTTTAAATGCAGTCGAAGAGGTAGGTCAGCCGAGGGCGTTTGCTCATTCGCTGTAGTATAGATACGCTTGGTTAACACCAAAACACCAAGCGGACCCGAGCGTCGTCCGTCCCTTAGGGCGCTGATCTCCAAAGCACGAAGTGGACGCCAACCGACTAGGACGGTTTCAACCAACCGTGAAACCCAAATATTTATCCTAGTCCCTTAGACGCACAGCCAAATGAAAGTTATAACATCCATACATAATAATTACATAAAACGGATTCGATTGTACGGTCGACAGGAATATGTATCCAATCTGCAATGATAACCGAAAGAATTCAAATCATCATCTCATACATCCAATCACACAAGATCGAAATACAATCTGACCATCTCAGGTCAAACACCACAAAACAATCATACAACCGCCAACAAGGAGTCGGCTATCGACAATAACATTAATGCAGCCGACAAGGTAATCGGTTGCCTTAATTTTGACTTGATGAGACGCGTTGCCAAAGTTATTCATTTCACCTACCACCGACCTAAGATTAGACACGCACACACCCGTCTTTATATGCTTCCAACCTTTTTGGATACGGTGCTCTGCGGATGATTCTTGATCAGGTGCATTGGTTGAAGTGTTGCATGCCTCTCCCTCAAGGAAGTGGTCTAGGGTACTCCTCCTCCTCGTCCGAGCACAAGACTCGGATCTCAGAAGTCGGGCCGCCTCCACCGAATCGGCAAAGTACCCCCCCGTAGAATGGTCCACTCCGGGTCGATAACAGGGTCGGCTCCTATAGCAACGAACCCTCGCCCCACACTCTTCCCAGATAGAGAACATATCCACCCCAAGTAGATTTCATTTGTTATTTTCCCTCCTAATTTCAGGGTAACTGAGACAAAACGAAATCGAAGGAGATAGAGAATAAAAATCATTTGGACAGGTATAGGTAGATAAGGTCATTCGGGATAGAAAGGGTCAACCTCAGGAAAAGAACTAAGTCCAATTGACCTCATCTTCATTATATTCACAAGTTTCTTTCATGACACCCATTAAAATTATTTATTTTCAAACACAAGTGCTTTTAACATGCAGGCAGATGAAAGATGGAAAGAGGACAACCCTTTTCATCATCCCATGTAGACACAATCAACCTCCTTTGCAAGCGTTTTTCTACCTACCTGCACAAAACGTAAAGAAAACAAGTTCAAGAAAAAACCAGTGCAATCCCATACTCACGTCAGACCTTTCCATTCACATGCATGACTCGCATAACTTTCCTCTCCCTTTTCAATGAACATTCAATGAACAGGGTCAAGCAAAGTGTGGGTTCACGCAGGTGTGGAAGGAAATCTGAGTCAATCGACTGACTGACCTTGAGTGAAGTTTGATTCGGCTCACTCAAGAAAGCCGAGTAATCCCAACCAGATAAAAGATATTCGTTGTTGAAGTTGAGAATATGCGGCTCACAACTCCACAAGTTGCAACCTTTCTACTGAACGATGATCTGCCTCTTCTCCTGGTGTCCGAATGAGCAAGAGTCGACTCATTGAGAGGACTGAAGTGGGATAACCCTCTAAAGAGGGTGCTCCCATTATCCAATCCTACGTCGCCTCAACATCTCGGACAATCCCAACGCAGTCCCAACTTCACCTTAACCACCAAGGATACTCCCAAACCAGCCACAAGTCCACATCGCCTCAAACCACTGCGTCCGTTCTCAATCCACACCAACAAGTTTGTCCCGATCTCAAAATCAATTCCACCTAGTCCCCAAAATGGTCCCAAGTGGTCTTGGGCAGTCCCACACCATGGCCAACAAATACCAAATGGTTCAGGACTCGAAACCGCTCTCTCCGCATGCAACAAAAAAGAATAAATGTGGCCCCCGGTGAAAACCGCAGGTGCTACAAGCTCCAATAATCATTGTGTGCACTCACTCCATGTCGCGCCGCCACTCCACACACCAATATCGCACGGTCCCAAATGTGCACCAGTGCCACAAAACACACAACGGCGGACCACCACTAGTACGCCATGAACCGGTACCATTGCTGCTCCGCAGCACCACTGCCAGATCACACACAAAAAAAATCGCCTCCAATGTCACGCAAAAGATCCACAACATTTTCCCTCACAATAGTGTCGCCGACGTGCCGCCAACCGGACAGCATGATCTCACCGGATACACTGCCGTTGTCGCGCCGCTGATCGAGCAGC